TAGGAGGAATAGTGCCTCATCATTGGTGTCAGTTGGAGGAATAGTGCCCTATCATTGGTATCAGTGAGAGGAATAGACCCAATCATTGGTATGAGTGGAAGAAGTAGTGCCCCATCACTGGTGTCACTAGGAGAAATAGTGTCCCTTCATTGGTATCAGTTGGAGGAATAGTACCCCATCATTAGTATCAATGGAAGGAACAGTGTCCAAATGTTGGTGTCATTGAAAGAAATAGTGCCCCATTGTTGGTGTCGGCGAGCAGAATAGATCCCCACCGCTGGTTTCAGTTTGAGGAATAGTGCTGCATTGTTGGTGTCAGTTGGAGAAATAGTGCCCCATTGTAGATGTCAGTAGCAGGAATTATGCCCCCATTGTTGGTGTTAGTGGGAAGAATAGTGTCCCAAGGGCCAGATAAAGGCAAGCAAGGGCCTCATCCGGCCCCTGGTATGCAGTTTGAAGACTACTGTTCTATAGTTTTAAACAGTAAATAAAAGTCTAAAGAACACCTAGATCCTCTTTTCAGAACACAAATCATGGTGGACCAGAGCTCTTCTGTACTTCTCATACTCCAAGATCAAGATGGGGAGGGGAAGGGTGTTGGCATATTTTGTGCAGTTAGCTAGCCCTGTCTCCGTTGAACTGGCTGTTCATTAATGCATGTAGTAAACAATATAAAGCAAAAACAAAAGTGAAGTGCCCCTTATTACAAATACAATAAATATGCAATAAATACTAAAGTGCAATGTACAGTGATCAATAAAAATGAAAAAAATGTCCAAAAAATTATTGTTTTCAGTGCATAACGCTTGTCATAAAATTCAACGCATGATATAAAAAGCAACATTACATGTGCCAAAGCACAAAGTATTTCAAATACAGAAAATATATCTATAAAAGTCTACCAATAAAAAACATATCATGCTCCAAAATGTGCAAAAGTCCCTGGAAAAATCCCATGATGTATTTAAAACATCTTCATGGTGCCTATTCTTAGTAATAAACACAACCACTGTGTATAAAAGAGTGAACTCTCATCTTAGGAGTTGGACCTTACTGCATTTCATAGAGGTCAAAACAGCATTTTGTGTACACCCCACTGCACCCCCTGGGTATTCCTTTAAGACTTCAGATTCTGTGCACATAGGTCTTATATCACATAGACTCAAAAGCTCATAATAGAGAAGAAAGCTCCATAGTGTACAAATCCTTTAACTTTAATATAGTACAAAAATGGTTACATTCACATGATATCCCTTTAAAAACAGCTCTCACAGAAACACACATGGATTAACAAGCCAGTGATTCAAAATGACAGCAAAGCTCTGACCACCATGATGATGTAATAAGCTCCTCCCACCTGACACGTTGTGCCCTACCAGACTTTCTCAAAGGTTATAATTAAGTAAACAATGACTGAAAAAAAAGAACATGAAAACACTACTTTGTTTAAAATATTTTCTTGTAGTGTTTTTTTCCATCCATTTCTTCCATAAGATCCTCCTAAACCTTCAACTACAAAATAATTTGTTCTTTTCCTAAGTCACTGGAGATATAGATATATCAAAATGTGTTTACTTCCAATTCAATTTAAAACTATAAAAATAGTAATATAATAAAAACAAATACATTTTGAGGTGTGCAACTCAAATTCAAATACATAAACAAAACAGTGCTTTTCCATATTTCATACAATATATAACCTCAAGCAAAATATTGTGCATCTACACATCAAAAGAAATGTGAAGTCAACATACAGTGATCCAAAATTTCCAAAGTGATATATTCTCATACAAATTTCCAGGCCTCTTGTATATACGCCCAGGGAAAGCAACAGTCCATCATGTGATGATAAGAAAACTTACAAGAACTGGTGGACCTTTTATCACATAAGGACAGATATGCAAAGGTTACACTTTTGGTGTTCCCAAAACCAGACTGGCATCTACAACATTTATGGCTCGTTTACACTGGCTTCAAAATGTAACATTGGACACACTTTTTTAAAGCATTCTGAATGTAAATCAAAGCACCTGTTTACATGTGTTTGCTTTGCTTTGCTTCAGAAATTATACCCCATGTCGCTTTCTTGGTGCTTCAAAGCATCTTCAAATCCTCCATAGAAGTCTATGACAAAGCTTGCTTACAGCTCCTGCAGTTTTTGAGAGGCTTTTATTCTGCTGTAGCTCCACTTTGTTTTGTAAGTATTGCAGATATATGATATCCCACGATGCACTGCTAAACCAACAAGCAAACCGAAAAGATGTCATCAGCAGTCACTTCTGGTTCATGTGTATATATATTATATTGGCAAAAGTATCTGGACACCCCTCCAAATCATTTGATTCAGGTGTTCCAATCACCTCCATGGCCACAGGTGTATAAAATCAAGCACCTAGGCATGCAGACTGCTTCTACAAACATTTGTGAAAGAATGGGTCGCTCTCAGGAGCTCAGCGAATTCAAGATTGGTACTGTGATAGGTTGTCATCTGTGCAATAAGTCCATCCGTCAAATTTCCTTGCTACTAAATATTCCACGGTCAACTGTTAGTGGTATTGTAATGAAGTGCACAGTGTGCAGAAGTTGCCAACTGTCTGCAGAGTCAATAGCAAAAGACTTCCAAACTTCGTTTGGTCTTCAGATTAGCACAACAAGAGTGTGTAGAGAGCTTCATGGAATGGGTGTCCATGGCCGAGCAGCTGCATCCAAGCCTTACATCACCAAGTGCAATGCAAAGCATTGGATGCAGTAGTGTAAAGCATGCCGCCACTGGACTCTAGAGCAATGGAGACATGTTCTCTTGAATTATGAATTATGCTTCTCTGTCTGGCAATTCGATGGATGTGTTTGGGTTTGGCGGTTGCCAGGAGACCGGTACTTACCTGACTGCATTGTGCCAAGTGTGATGTTTGGTGGAGGGGGGGGGATTATGGTGTGGGGATGTTTTTTAGGGGTTTGGCTTGGCCCCTTAGTTCCAGTGAAAGGAACTCTTAAGGCGTCAGTGTACTAAGACATTTTGGACAATTTCATGCTCCCAACTTTGTGGGAACAGTTTGGGGATGGCCCCTTCCTGTGCCAACATGACTGCGCACCAGTTCACAAAGCAAGGGCCATAAAGATATGGATGAGCGAGTTTGGGTGGAGGAACTTGATTGGCCTGCACAGAGTCCTGACCCCAACTTGATAGAACACCTTTGGGAGGAATTAGAGCGGAGACTGTGAGCCAGGCCTTCTCGTCCGACATCAGTGCCTGACCTCACAAATGCACTTCTGGAAGAATGGTCAAATATTCCCATAGACACACTCCTAAACCTTGTGGACAGCCTTCCCAGAAGAGTTGAAGCTGTTATAGCCAACTCAATATTGAACCATATGGAATAAGACTGGCATGCCATTAAAGTTCATGTGTAAAGAAGGCGTCCCAATACTCTTGGCAATATAGTGTATTTTGGAAGTGTCTGGTGCAGACATCACATCTGGTGTGCAGCATGGAGCAGCAGGAAGGTGTGTGTCACGGAGCAAGTAGCAGATGGCACATGTGGTGTGCAACATGGAAATGCTATAGCAGAAGGTGAGTGGGGACTGGAGGAAGAGGATAAGCAGAGCAGAGGGACTGGAGTAGGAGAATCTAGCAATGTCACACATGGTGTGCAGAGTGGAAGCAATATAGCAGGAGGTAAGCAAGTACCAGAGAGAGAGGAAGATCAGCAAACCAGAGGATTACCAGAGCTGAAGGTTACTACTGAGTGGGGGATCATCAGATCTGGGGGTTCCTACTAAACAGGGAATCAGCAGCACCTGGGGTTACTACTGAGTGGGGCATCAGCAGAGCTGGGGGTACTACTAAGCAGAAGATTTGCTGAACAATTGTATTAATTAGCTGAGGATCTGCTCAATGAGGGTACCAATGAGCTGGGGATCTGCTGAACAGGGGTATCATTGAGCTGCGGATCTGCTGAGTGCAGGCAATACTGAGCTGGGGTTCTACTGGGCCCCATTAAAACAAATCAAAAATCAACACACATACAGGGCATCTGCCAAGCTTCATTAAAGCTTCAAATAAGCATCACCGAAGCACCATCGTAGCACCACTGAAGCATCATCGAAGCATCACCAAAACTTCAAGAACACATACAAAAATCATGTTGAAGTGGTACGCACTTTAATGTGTGTTAAGATCAAAGCAAGTGTAAATGACCCCTTATTGATTCATCTCCAACACCAGGGGCTTTCCACTGTACAAGATTTACAAACACTTAAACAGACACAATTCCAAAGTGCAGTACAGTTTGTTAAAACAATGATTAAAATAGCAAACTGATATTCAGAATGTTCACTAAATGGAACAATGTATAATTAATTGGAGATTTCATTATAAATGTTATGCCCTAAGCAGATCTATAACTTGCACTGTGTATAGTGCTGTTGGCTTCTGAATACAGGTGAGTTGTCAGATCGGGACTCTGCAGGGTTTGTTTACTCACCCCCCACCTGCAATTTCTGCACCCCCATCCCAGCAATAAACAAATGCACCTAGGGAAGCAACCCCTCCTGCCCTCCCCTTGTCCTGGCCCTGCCCCTTATCTCTTGTTCTGGGACAATTCTAAAATGTTGGTTCTTCTCTCACTTTCTTTCTCAGTGACAATGGTCACATATACAGATATCGGAGTGAATCTCCCCAATGGGAACACAAACTGCCACAAAAGCTTTTCATAGGCTCTAACCCTTCCCTATTATATTCTGATTCCTCCTTTTATGTTATAGACAGTTGATGGTTGCATTCATTTAGTATTATTTTATCTACAGAGAGTCCTCCGACATCACTGCGGTTGGCAGATGGTGAGCATGCCTGTGCAGGACGGGTAGAGATCTACCACCGGGGAGACTGGCAAGATGTGTGTGATGATGGCTGGAACAGAGTCAATGCAGAAGTGGTGTGCCGGCAGGCTGGGTGTGGAAGTCCTATCGTTCCACTTGTTACGTATGGACAAGGCAGTGGGAACATCCTCCTGGATGATTTGAGCTGCAGTGGAACAGAGCAGGTACTATGGCAGTGCTCCCATCGTGGGTTCTATGTACATGACTGTGTGCCGCTTGAACATGTCGGAGTTATATGCTCAGGTAACTATTTCCTTCACAATACATGATAGAAATGCAGTAGTCTATATAGCATTTAATCTTTAGTGATGTTAAAATTCACCGGACCCTGATGCATTATCTTACAATATAATTTTTTTCATGGAGTGGGGAGAGTTTAGAGTCCTTGACTGGGTTTTATTGCATGAAGAAGATTCCCCTCACCTTCTTTCCTGGTGGCACCAATTATGAGACAAGAAGTAAGGGGTAGGAGCATCTAAACCTGACAGAGGTTGTGTTGTTTTCTAATCCAAATCTAAAATAAATAATAAAAAAAAATGACCAGAGTCATTTAGGGTCCTCCCATATCTTATTTATCAATCCATAATGATCCTGGTCAGCTATTGGATATATTTTGTTCTTATCCAGTAAGCTTACGAGAGGTATAAACAGCTTCAAAAAAGACTTTGAAAAAACAAAATGTTACTTTATATTTGACCACTTCAGTAATAAAGAAATGTAGCAGTGATGGCTGAACCCCATAACCTCCAAGGCTCAGAAATAGTTTTAACCTTCCCTGTCCCAATAAGTTTTGACTTAGGATACCCATTTCCCCTGGTGGGTCTTTCCTAGGTCCATTTGCATTTTCTTCCTTGCTTGGGAAGAAAGGTAATATCAGGTACGTGGTAACAGAGGCCAATGAAGAGAGGGCTTCCCTTGCGGCTAAGTTCCAGACTCCTCTGAGAGTGGGACAGCAGGAGTCAGGCCCAAAGTGACACAGGTCGCCTGTAGGAGTGCTTGTTTATGGTCCACCCAGGAGCACAGCTGATGCATGGAGATGAGGTCTGCAGACAGATCACGCCTGTGTGAGGTATGCAAGTCCTTCCGGGAGGATTACTGGATAGCCGGTTCAAGCCAAGGTTAGGTACCAGGTGGGAATCAGAGTAGACGTAGTCAGATGGGATAGCCAAGGTCATACACAGAGGAGCGAGAGAGAGAGTATCCTTTAGCCAAGTCGAGGTCAGATCAGTAGTTAAGCAGAGTAGACAGGTCCAAAAGCAATCCAAGTTGGTATCAGAAAGTCACAGGTCACAGGAAACAGGAACCAGGAACAAGGTGCGGGAGCTAGAGATCATCCAGCAACTTGAGGAAGTGATGAGCCTCCTTATAAAGGCCGTCTAGCACCAAACTGAGGCTGATGCATGCTTCTGCGGCCATGCAGGGTACTGGCAGAAATGCCAGATCTTCCAGAACTTCTGCCGTGGATAGGACCCTGACAGGTAACCTCTCTGATGATTGGGAGATTGCACACAGTTGTCTCATCTCTACTTTTTTTGTGCAAAAAGTCTTGCCAAACATGGTATCCTATATTTATGTAAGTATAGTAGCAGTGGCATAAGAACCAAAAGATGACTAAATACCTTATATAATATTCTGGTGAGTTATAAATAGCATCTATTTGTTGCTACAAATTTTCTTGGGTGAAAAACTGTAAATTCAGTCCCTCAGTAGATTTTTCCATATATATCTGACCAGAATAGACTAGAGCCCAGAAAGACTTTATAAAGTGCCATTTAGTGGATTCTGCTTGGGGATTTATGTAGAACTCACAGTATGATGGAACAAGTAGAATTGATTGTGTCTTCCCTTTATATGCTAAACAGATTCCAAGCCGTCTGGTACTGAGCCTCCAGGTAAGTAAAATCTGTGAGTTTCTATTTATTTACTTATTTATTTGTGGAAAAAGAATGACATAATCCAAGCTGTTTTTTATTTATTAGCACTGACTTGTTTATATATACTGTGATCAGACTGACCAACTCAACCTGTTCCCCTGCTAGGGAATACCTAGAGAGGTCCTGGTGCCCTGGACAGGAACTAGTAAGGGGCAGAACAAAAACTGCCGATCTGGGAAAGTGCCGACACTGGGAAAGTGATCACTTCTGCTTGTTATGGCACCATGCATGGCAACGTATTTGAGAAGGATAATGAGGCTGCTGATGGTTGCGCTTGGAGCCCTGAGGAGGTCTTGCATTCTGCAAGAAGTCTAGAGATGTTGATTCCAATTTGCCCATAGTGTCGGGAGGTAGCCCACTTGGCTATGTAATAGGTGTGGTGTTGCCACTGCAAACATTTCTTTTACTGGATGCAGTTTATGCAGGTAGAGCCCCAAGATCTTTCTAGTTTACCATCCACCTGGTAAATGCAGCTGAATGTTTCGCTCGAGGGTCTGGATTTTTTGGGCTGGCAAGGACATTCAAAGTCACAGTGTTTTCTACTGGGCATCCCGCATTACTTAGACACTATCCTGGTGCGGGATGGGGGCTTCCATCTTCTTTGTTTGGCGAGGGTCCCATTCAGCCGGAGGCAGTGGATGATGAAACTGCTTCTCAATCTGTCAAGATGTTGCCTGCAGAGTAGCTGGCCCCCATTGGACTTGATTTAGCCCTTTCTTCAATCTTCAGAGATATGTAATTTCCATTGTGTGGTATTCCAGCTGGGAAATAACTGGAGAGAGGTCCTAGTGCCCTACACAGAAGAGATTGGGGAACAAAACAAAAACTGTCCAACCTGGGAAAGTGCTGGCGACCACTGCTATAATTGATGAGGAGCTGTATGCCATGAAATGTTAGGTCCTGAAGTTGTGTGACTTGAAATTGTCTACTTTGAAGATTAGAAAGTAAAGCTTTGAAAATTTATTGGACTTACATCTTCTTGCTACCATAGGCCTATCCTTTAACCTGGTACCTGGCTTAGCCAGGAAGAATGCAGGGTGAAGGGCTGGTCATGGTAATGTACTGTACATGTGCTGGTGAATATAAACTATTTCTATTTTCCTCCCTCTGGAAGCAGAGAATAACACTAACGTAAATCAGCTACAGTATTTGTAGCTGCTGACTATTATTTTTTTAATTCAACTGGAACTCTGCTTTAAAAAATTGACAGCAGCTTCAATATTAAAGTGTTACTAAACCCAGGGCCCTGCATTCTTTCTATCTGGTCTCCCACAGTACACAAAACATTGAAATGCAATTATTTTAGTAAATATAAACTGCTAAATACCTTTTATTATCAGCAGTTAGAGCAATCTTGTGACTTCAACAGAGCACTGGTTAAAGCTTACAGGAGGAGTTTTCTTTCTGCTTTAGGAGGATGCAGTACCCCTGACCTCTGTCTGGACAGTGCTGATTGGCCCTAGGCTGATCACATGCACTCTCCCAAGAAAAAAACCCTCTCCAGCAATGCACACCAAACTGAGCATGCACAGAGTGTCTCCACACGATATGTCTTAGTGGGAGATAAGAGGGGGACACTGGAAAAAAGGGAGGTTCAAAGAAGTCAAAATCAAACACCTGTCACGTACCCTCTGGTGGAGACTACAAACAGCTGTGCTGACACTTATTTCAAAGGCATACTTCACTTGTGTGACTATTAGAAAGCTGGTCCTGAGAAATGGTGTGCAGCCGACACTAGAATGGATGCTAGTAAACAGAGAAAGGCTGAAAGAGGCTGAAGGAGATTGCTGTGATCTAAAAATGGAAGAAAAAATGCTGAAAATTGTATTTAATTGAAAAATACATGGCAATTGTTTATAACACACCGACACAGTGCTTTATTGAACTATCCAATTAGGTTTTGGAATGCCCTTAAATTATATTCTAGAATAATTCAATTTGGATTTTAGCTGTTTTAAGCAATGCAAGCTTTGTTCCTATTGTACTCCCCAAGCAGAATTAATAAGCCACAGCCTTGCTCCCAGTGCCAAGCTCCTCCAGGAGGTGGCAAAGGAAAGGCAATACAGAAATGCTCCTCATACCACTTATAGAAAGCACCAGCTGATCCAAACAAACTCATGGAAGCCTCAGCCCTGTAAAGGACATCTAAGGAGTCTGCAGAAGCTGAAACCATATCTTATGGGAAGATTGTACAGAGCAGATCACAGTGTTTCAAGGTCATCAAGGTCATAAGCCACTAATGTTTAATCAGGTTATACACGTATAACTTAAGATCAGCATTAAATGTTTGTTTTTCCCTTCCTGCAGCATCTGTTATAGACCTTCGGTTGGTCAATGGGTGGCATAGATGTGCTGGCCGTGTGGAGCTGTACTACCATGAATCGTGGGGCACGGTATGTGATGACCAGTGGGACATTAGAGACGCAGACGTTGTGTGTAGGCAGCTTGGTTGTGGGGCTGCAGTTTCGGCTCATGGGCAGGCACGCTTTGGTGAAGGAGGTGGGAATATAGTCCTGGATGATGTAAACTGTGCTGGTGACGAATCTCTCCTAGATCAATGCAAACATCGGCTGTGGGGAGAACACAACTGCCAGCACAATGAGGACAGTGGAGTCATCTGCTCAGGTATGGAACAGCATAACTGGTTACAGAGTTACATAGGTTTAAAGGAAGTATTTGACCTTCAAGTTCAAGAAAGAAAAAAATATTTATCTCTAAGCCAAGTCACAGTATTAATAAATAAATAATTTGCGCTAGTAAATGTGTATAAATATATAAATATATATAAAGAAATCATCAAATCATAAGTCCAGAAAAAAAAAATATATATGCCAATACCACAAAAAAATATATAAAAAAACTTTTAAGTGCAAAAAACTTTTGTGCAAAAAAAGTGTCTAAATATGAAAAATTTCACCAAAAAACCTTGATAATATAATGGCAGATCATCCATAAATATATCTTCAGAAACGGAAACTCTGCAACACACCGATCCTCATCGATCGAAATAACAGGATGAAAAACTTTGTAGTTAATCGAAAATCCACTTCTCCAATAGATAAAGGACCACCTTCAAACGTATCCATGGGGGGAAATGCCAAGCACTCGAGAGAAACAGAAAGACTTCATGGTGCAATATTATAAAAACCAATTCCTTTATTAGGTACTCATTGCACTTACTCAAGAGGTGTCCCAGCCGACACCAGCATCAACAGCATAACAGCAATCACATAAACGAGCCTGGCTACTCAGCACATGCGCAGTAGCTGGCAGCCAAAAACGTAATGACGTCTCATCAATCAAGCTCCGCCCTAAGCGTTTCGTCATCGTGAGGACGTCGATGACGAATTGGTTTTTATAATATTGCACCATGAAGTCTTTCTGTTTCTCTCGAGTGCTTGGCATTTCCCCCCATGGATACGTTTGAAGGTGGTCCTTTATCTATTGGAGAAGTGGATTTTCGATTAACTACAAAGTTTTTCATCCTGTTATTTCGATCGATGAGGATCGGTGTGTTGCAGAGTTTCCGTTTCTGAAGATATATTTATGGATGATCTGCCATTATATTATCAAGGTTTTGTGGTGAAATTTTTCATATTTAGACACTTTTTTTGCACAAAAGTTTTTTGCACTTAAAAGTTTTTTTATATATTTTTTTGTGGTATTGGCATATATATATTTTTTTCTGGACTTATGATTTGATGATTTCTTTTATATATATTTATACACATTTACTAGCGCAAATTATTTATTTATTGGTACACTTTATATATGGTGATTTTTTGCAGCTGGTACACTATTAGTAAGTTATATAATTTTGACCATAGGCTATTATTAATTTTTCTTAAGTTACAGTATTAGTAGCCATTTTATGGAAAGAAATTATTTTGTTCTAAGTCTTTATACTCACAGATTTAACTGGACATGTGATGCATACATGGGGGTTATCTTCAGCTGAAAACCAAATGTCAAAATACCCGTTTGAATTAGAGATCAGACTTCAGGACAGCTGAAGCTATGACTTTTCCTGAAATGGTTGAGCTTGGTCTACCCACTCAAGATCCCCAGTTAACTCTCTATACACCCTTACACACTTCAGGCAAACTTTGAATAAAACAGGGATTCCTGGTTCACCTATAGCACACTACATGTTCAAATCAGTCAGCTGATGCAGTGATCCATCTCTGGTCATTCTCTGTTCCACTAGCAAAATGCCAAAAATAGGGTACCTTATAGATCATACAATGTCAAAATGGGGTCAACGGTTACAAGAATTAAGAAACTTGATTGTTACATGCAGTCATACCCTTCTAACACCTCATTTGTAGTATATGGAATGATGTTTGAATCAGAGCACAGACATTTTTCAGCTGTGGTGAAGAAGGTTAATTGGGACTCTTGAGCGTAAATACAGTATGTGGTCACACATATGGGCTAGGGTCAGCATCAAGTTGAATCATTTACTGTTTGTCTTAGTTTCTTTATGATTGACTTGCTCACCTACCTTTTGAAAGAGATGAGTGAAAATAGCAACAAAGAGGTAGGGCTACGAGAGAATTACAAGATACTCTGTTTCGCAAGTAAAATGCCATACTCCTCCTCAGCAGCTCTTAAGTTTTTATTGCAATAAGAATCAGATAACATGATAAGGGATATTTGGGGTAGCACTTGTTTCAGGTCTGGAATATGTTTGAAAACAGCCCAAGATGGAGAGGTGTTTAGAATCTCTATGGTGTTGTCATGTTTATGCCAGTTTTTTTAAATTTAAATAAGTGATGTTTATTACTTTTTGTCTGCAGCAGCTGGAGTTCCTGCACCAAAAGCTCCAGGTAATTTTTCCATTACTACAGACCTAGATCAGGCTTGCTTACTGTACCTTATCCAGACCTTATATGCTGGATGGTTTAGTAAGGCTTGTTAAGTATTGGAATGTGTGCCATTACCCCATATATAATTCTCATTCTCCATTTAGTCTGTTTCCCTAATTTGTAATAGGACCTATACTATACTACAGACCTAGATCAGGCTTGCTTACTGTACCTTATCCAGACCTTATATGCTGGATGGTTTAGTAAGGCTTGTTAAAGTATTGGAATGTGTGCCATTACCCCATATATAATTCTCATTCTCCATTTAGTCTGTTTCCCTAATTTGTAATAGGTGACAGATTGTATGTAAAAGAAAAATATTGAACTGCAAAAAAGCCAAAAATCTAAATATTGGCCAAAAATCTAAATATTAAGTAAGCATAGTTAGGTAGTTGTCAACCAAACATAAGTCCTGCTATTATAAAGCCAAGCCAAAAACCAAAAAAAAATAGAGTACAAGGTGGTATCAGGTTTTGTAGCATGCCAACAGACAGCAGCACAGCGCTGCACAAACAGTCAAGGGAGCACCGACCTTCATAAGTCAGTGTGGCAAAAGACATCGGCCTGTGTACATCAGGAGCTGTGCAACTAGTGCTATTCTGACCACGTGCATTACCATGTCTGCTATTTTATCATGGACAGCAAGTTAAAACAAAGAGCAAATGTGAAATTCTACGTAAAACTGGGTAAATCTGCTACAGAGATGTTTGACATGATTCGGCAAGTGTGGTGGTTTATGTAAGGATTTATTCTACTTATAAAGGGCGGTGTCCCTTTTCCTTAGATGAAATATTACAGTGCCTCCAGCCGTTAAAATACGGCAAATATTTAGTAAACCAATAATTTGGACACCTTGATAATTTGATCACCACTTATTATTAGACCTTGAATTCTTTTAGCCAGTATGATTTCGTACCATACACACAAAATTTGCCTTATAATAGATAAATATAAAAATGTATTTATGTACAAAAATTATATATATATTAACACAAAACGCAAAAAAGACTGGTGATGAATGAATATTGATACACACGGTCAAAGATATATCCTACCAATATCATACACAATAATAATTTTTCTAAATAATGAAATCAATATAACAAATTTCTAGATGATGATTATTCAAAATTTAAATGTATTAATAACTAATAATTTAGAGTATTTCAGAGGTTATATTCTCACAAACCGTGTCCATAGGATTGGAAGAAGATATTCTCTGATAAATTATACTCTAATTATTAATATTTAATAAATTATGAAATGTGAAAAATTTGTAATATGACACCAAACAATTTTAGCAGTAATACAGGATCTCTCTATATATATATATAACCACCCAATACAGCTGTGATACACTAAGGTAATTCTTATTACTCTACACAACAGATAAAATATGCAATGCAAAATTAAATGGACAGTCTCACCACACCCGGAATTCAGACTATGAAACTTTCCAGTGGATTCAGCTGTCAATGGAACGCCTTCAGAATGATGCCACAGGGGCAAGTGATAGATATGTAGTATAGTAGAGGTTCAGAGGTTTAGAAGTTTAGGAAAAAGTTTTTTTAAAAGTTTGAAAGGATGGAAGATGGGTTATTCAGCAGAGTTGTCTCTTCAGATGTCTTCAGATTTTCTTCTAGTGAGGTTTTTCTTAATGAGCTTTTTTTTTTTTAGTCAGGGTTTTTTTTTCTAAATAAGGTGCATGGATTTTTATACCCACTAAACTATTGTTCTAAGATACCCTCCCACCAGGCTTCTTGATTGGCTAGTTGAGAAAGGTATGTACATAAGTAGAGATGAGCGAATCGAACCTGGCGAAGTGGAATTCGTTTCGAATATCAGGAAAAATTCGATTCGCATCGAATCCGAATTTTAGCAAACTTCGGGTGCACGAATCGAATTTTTCCCGATCAGCCGGCAAAAGTGTCACTGCAGAGAGCTCCGCTATTTCTGACAGTTCTGACAGTTCATTTACAGCGGTTGAAACATTGTATCTATTTGTTTCCATTTAGGATACAGATGTTTTTATTCGGAAATAAATAGATACAATGTTTCAACCGCTGTAAATGAACTGTCAGAACTGTAAATGTGAAGGAACTGTCAGAGAACTGTCAGAAATAGCGGAGCTCTCTGCAGATACACTTTTTGCTGTACTGGAATTCTTCTTCTTTTCATTCTTCTTCTTTTCATTCTTCTTCTTTTCATTCTTCTTCTTCTTTTCATTCTTCTTTTCATTCTTCTTCTTCTTCTTTTCATTCTTCTTCTTCTTCTTTTCATTCTTCTTTTCATTCTTCTTCTTCTTCTTCTTTTCATTCTTCTTTCTTCTTTTTTTCATTCTTCTTCTTCTTTTCATTCTTCTTTTCATTCATCTTCTTCTTCTTTTCATTCTTCTTCTTCTTCATTTCATTCTTCTTTTCATTCTTCTTCTTCTTTTCATTCTTCTTCTTCTTCTTTTCATTCTTCTTTTCATTCTTTCTTCTTCTTCTTTTCATTCTTCTTCTTCTTCTTCTTTTCATTCTTCTTTTCATTCTTCTTCTTTTCATTTTTCTTCTTCTTCTTTTCATTCTTCTTCTTCTTCTTTTCATTCTTCTTTTCATTCTTCTTCTTCTTCTTTTCATTCTTCTTTTCATTCTTCTCATTCTTCTTTTCATTCTTCTTTTCATTCTTCTTCTCATTCTTCTTTTCATTCTTCTTCTTTTCATTCTTCTTCTTCTTCTTTTCATTCTTCTTTTCATTCTTCTCATTCTTCTTTTCATTCTTCTTTTCATTCTTCTTCTTCTTCTTTTCATTCTTCTTTTCATTCTTCTTCTTCTTCTTCTTTTCATTCTTCTTCTTCTTCTTTTAATTCTTCTTCTTCTTCTTTTCATTCTTCTTTTCATTCTTCTTCTTCTTCTTTTCATTCTTCTTCTTCTTTTCATTCTTCTTTTCATTCTTCTTCTTCTTCTTTTCATTCTTCTTCTTTTCATTCTTCTTTTCATTCTTCTTCTTCTTTTCATTCTTCTTCTTCTTCTTCTTTTCATTCTTCTTCTTCTTCTTCGTCGTGCCCCCGTGACTGCCCAAATGAGTGAAGTGTGCGGTGATTCTAAGATCGACGGCACTCATCTGCATGTCATACTGACTGACAGTATTATTTCTCTTCCCCAGCAGACTCCAAGGGCATTTAAATTAAAGGTACAGTGTTCTGCACTAATATAAAGGCTCTCTGAAGCCTAGAAACCCTTTTAATAAGTTAAATTCGCGGCGAATAAATTCGCATCGAATCGAATTTCTCCCGCAAATTTGGCGAATCAGCCGAATCGAATTTTTGAATAATTCGCTCATCTCTATACATAAGCTATTTCTCACCTGCCTGCCAGGTGGCAGTCTTGTACCATAGAACAATTTGAGTATTGATGATGACTCATACCTCGGGTGGAACTCAAGGTGATTTTAGGTATTAAATATACGTCTTATTCAGGCATATAGAGGTAACCATACCTATAATATTCTAAATAGGAACCATGGAATATATGTGTATATTCAGTTATTCCTCTCCCTGATATACAAGCTTGTGTGAAAGCATTTGTTTCCTGATAAGACATACAACTGATGCTAACTCACAATATATCTTACTTTTTTTCCTCATCTCAATACTCAAGTTAGTGATATACAATCCCCATTCTGCTGAATATTTTGTGGTGTGTGAAACATATTCTTTATAACATCCATAGATACTATGCCTTTTAGTAATATCTTTGTGGTTAGATATATTCAATTCTTAGCCTTAAAATGTCCTGAATTTAACCTTTGTTTCAGAATCAAACATTCCCATAGGTGGGAAAGACCCTCTGTTTACCTGGCTATTGTGTTGGAGTCAGAGTAAACAGACATTGATACTTTCAACCTTAGTGGATAATAGCATATTGTGGTAGTTCGAGAGGTTTGTTAGTTCATTACACTCCACAGGATTTTTGGGTAAACTTTCGACCAGTGAATTTCCCGTCTCATCATTGTCTTTTAGTTAGATGTGATGACTCAGTATTTGAAAGTCTAACGTCTCATCTGGCTGTCTGTTTAACTTTTGTGTATGCATTCTCCCCGACCCCAATATACAAATAGTATTTGTTGACAGTCCAAACAGTCTTATTGTCTTGGAAAAATCTCACTTCACTCAGTATGTACATTTCTTTAGCTGGATGGTCATTCGACTTTTCAACCAAGACAAGTTAACCCTTAACATACGGCTAGGCTGGGTTGCTGTCATAAGTAAGGTTATGTCTTGATAAAGTCATGTTTTTGATACATAATTTCAAAAGGTCCACAACACAAGTTTATGGTAATGCTGCAGTTTGAGCTGTTTTGAGTAGCATGCACGCTTCAAGAGCAGAAAAACATCACCGGAAGATGACAAGAGATCAGAATGACCTTCAACAAGCTCAACTCCCGAAAATGCCCTCTTCTCAAAGGTGAAGATCCAGCTCAAAGATTGCCATTTTGACAACATTGCAGAGATCCAGCGATTTGAAGATCAGTGCTCCCTGTGACTTTGTATGCAGCCTTGTGTTACCATCTGTTGGCTTGTTACACAACTAGTCTGGAAACTTTTTGATACCACCTCGTAGTTGAGAAGTTGTCGACCAAACATAGTTCCTTCTATTATATCATGAAAACTTCTCTTCACAATACTTGCAACCTTAATGGAAACCCACCTTGCTGTCCACACTCAAAACATTAGTGGTTTGTTAAGTATGTTTCAAGACTTTGCATTTTTATTAGTTGATATGGGTGCTGGTAAAAACTTTGGCAATCCTAGGGTGTCTGCTATGACCAACTAAAACCAAAGTCAGCAGATTGGTCAAAGATAGAATACCGTGTCTCTATGCTACACAAACTAAAGAAGTTAACTTTGATATTAGATTTTTAGGGGTATATTTATAAAACAGTAAGGCTGCATTCTCCAAACATTCACTGCAGATGTATCTGAAGCCACATGCATGGAAGGGGCTTATATATGTGTGGTTGCGGGGAATGCCTTGGCATTATGATTGGCCAAGTACAGTGACAGCTTTCGGGTGGGATTGCTCAGATGGGTTTGGACTAGGATCCAAACGTGCCTAAGCTTTTCTCTATCCTTGAGTATGTCATTTGACTAAATGTAATAAATAAATATACATGTTTTAAAATAATTTTGGAGGTTCTTTCACAGCAGACAAAACACAACTGGTGAGTTCCTGCTGCATATTAATTGAGGCCACAGTTTCTCCCCTACTTCTTATCTGGGCAATAAATGTCTCTTTATGTTGGACTCACATGGGCACTTTGTACAGAGAAGAGAATCTGGCACCTGTGTTGGAATGGTGATCCACCTTTGATCAAACCAACCATCATGGGGTAGCACCATTTTGAAAAGTCTGATCATCATCCCAACCATGCCAAAATGTTTTGTTTTTAACAGATTTAGCTTCTCGGATGACTACATAATGACTACATAATATCCTTTTTCCTCTGCTGTTTTAGAAATTCCCCCTAGTGTACGACTTGTTAATGGGTAGTCATCCCTGTGAAGGGCGTTTGGAAATTTCTTATCGGAGTGTATGGGGTACAGTGTGTGATGACCTATGGGACATGGCAGCGGCTACAGTGGTGTGCCGGCAGCTTGGCTGTGGACAGGCCCAGAAAGCTCCAGGAATGGCATTCTTTGGTCGTGGGACTGGCAACATTTGGCTGGATGACATAGACTGTAAAAGCACAGAACCTGCTGTATGGCATTGTCGCCACCGACCATGGGGCACCAACAATTGTGACCACAGTGAGGATGCTGGAGTAGTGTGTGAATCAGGTAAGTCAGGAAAATATACTGTTTATATCATTACAACTTTATGAGCATCTTTACACACTGACTTTATGCTCTTTGATACATTTAACCCTTTTTCTAACCCATTTTTGCATTTTTTTTTCCACACATTAAAACGCCTATTTTAGGTTTTGACAATTACTTGAAACTCCCAAACATAATTTAAAATCAAAGAAGTGCCACACTCCCATCCAGCCAACCTAGTGTAGCCTCAGGCTATGAGTCTCTGTCAAAGTCACGACTCACAGCATGTTTCGCTCTTCCCACTGGAGCTTACTCATAGGATAGTACCCTATGAGTAAGCTCCAGTGGGCAAAGCAAAACATGTTGGGGTTGTGTGGCTTAGATGGCAACTCATACGTAGAGGCCATTTTCAAGTCTACACTAGGTTGGCTGGATGGGGGTGTGGAGCTTCTTTAATGAGTACCCTTGGCAGGCTGCACCTTTCTTTCTGGTGACTTTAGGAGATTAGTTTCCCCAGCTTGAACTGCATTCAAAATCCAGCACTAAGGTTTTTCAATTGAGTATTTTCAGTATAAAATACATGCCATACATAATTTTATATTGGGAGTCCTCCTGCGCTGCTATGGACCACCCTCCCCTTTCCCTAGTTAACAGCCGCTAACACTCTAACTGATACCCACAAACAGTGTACAAATAAATATAAATATAATAGTGTAGCGCTTGATAACATATATAAAAACAACTAAAATAAATAAATTAGGTACATAAACCTAGTGACAACTCACATAGTGTCTAAAAAATAAGTGCTCTAAACAAGTGTAACTTAACTCATGAGTGAAAAACCTCATAAAACATATTAGTGTTGTAATAACCATTCAGCATAATATTTGTGTTAGTGCCACTCCTAATCAATAATACATGTGATCGTGCCAAATCACTAAAGTAAATGTATTGTCCAATATCCAAAAAACAAATATAAAACAGTGAAGTCCAAGTGATGCTTAAATACACATGCAATGTGTTAACATGGTGTCACTCGTGAAAAATCCACTCTTCCACTTTGGCTGCAATGCCTCCTCACCTCCTTCCTACGACCCCTAGGGGCCAACAAAGCCTTTAGGATCAACTTGGATCCTCAGCACTCCTGGATGGTACCTCTCAGGTTATCCTTCTGTTTGTCCTCCTCCACACCTTTCCGCCTCACGGGAGACCTCTACTCCAATCCTCTGTAAATCCTCACTCTCACAATGGTGAGTTCAAGAAAAGAAATCCTCCATAGTGTAGTAGTTAAAATACCAGCATTTTATTTATAGAATAGAAAGTCACTCACATTGTGTACAGCGTTTTTTTCTTCTCCCCTGCATGGGTAAACTGCACTCATGTAAGGCTCTAGGAAAATGGCGTCCCGTACCGGAAGTACGTCACTCGGGACTCCGGAAACTGCGTCTCTGCGTGCCTACGCGTTACGTCACGTACCTCGTGACTTCATCTGGGTCTGATGAAGTCACGAGGTACGTGACGTAACGCGTAGGCACGCAGAGACGCAGTTTCCGGAGTCCCGAGTGACGTACTTCCGGTACGGGACGCCATTTTCCTAGAGCCTTACATGAGTGCAGTTTACCCATGCAGGGGAGAAGAAAAACGCTGTACACAATGTGAGTGACTTTCTATTCTATAAATAAAATGCTGGTATTTTAACTACTACACTATGGAGGATTTCTTTTCTTGAACTCACCATTGTGAGAGTGAGGATTTACAGAGGATTGGAGTAGAGGTCTCCGTGAGGCGGAAAGGTGTGGAGGAGGACAAACAGAAGGATAACCTGAGAGGTACCATCCAGGAGTGCTGAGGATCCAAGTTGATCCTAAAGGCTTGTTGGCCCCTAGGGGTCGTAGGAAGGAGGTGAGGAGGCATTGCAGCCAAAGTGGAAGAGTGGATTTTTCACGAGTGACACCATGTTAACACATTGCATGTGTATTTAAGCATCACTTGGACTTCACTGTTTTATATTTGTTTTTTGGATATTGGACAATACATTTACTTTAGTGATTTGGCACGATCACATGTATTATTGATTAGGAGTGGCACTAACACAAATATTATGCTGAATGGTTATTACAACACTAATATGTTTTATGAGGTTTTTTTCACTCATGAGTTAAGTTACACTTGTTTAGAGCACTTATTTTTTAGACACTATGTGAGTTGTCACTAGGTTTATGTACCTAATTTATTTATTTTAGTTGTTTTATATATGTTATCAAGCGCTACACTATTATATTATTTATTCATACATAATTTTAGTGCACATCAAGGATGGGAAGGACAGAACCAATAAGTGGTGATCAAGGACTCAAGTTGCCATAGGCTGATAGGTTTTGAATAGGTATTTAGCAATTGTCTGGTATTTACTACATACCTGAACATGGTTAACTAACACAGAGTTGTCAATCATCTTACTATACACGATTTTCAGGTTACATGAACTATAACTGCTAACGTTGATACTTTATCATAATTTTCTTGTACCATGTATGAATATGAGTTTTGACTAAATATAATGTATATAATATCATTTTTTGGCAATGTGTAGGTTCTACTACAACAGCAATACCAGACTCCACAGGTAAGTCCCTGCAGCATATTAAAGTGTATCCAAACATAGAAACAGATGGCAGAAAAATATCAAGAGATCCATTGAGTCTGCCAATTTTTTGTTTTTATACATATTTTGTATTTTTTTTTGTTGTTGTTTTTTTCTTAAGTTTCTTGTCTGAGTATAGATCTATATTTGTCCCAAGCATTTTTGAAACCATTTATTGACTGACTCACTTCCTCTGCTGGATGTCTATTCCAATCAACTATCCTTTCAGTAAGATTAATTTTGAACTTTCCTCCTGTTATTTTGAACATTCCTCCATTTTTTGTATCCCTTCTCGTCTGTTAAATATACCATCAAAAACATTTTATTATATTTGTTCAAACAAAATATAGAGAATTTCAATGTATTTTTTTTTTTTCTATAATTTTTTGGTTGCTGTTGGTTGAACTAGCTGGGCTTGGTTTTTTTTGTAACCAGACTATGAGACATAAATGTTTGATCAGATACATTTTACCTCAGAGTGACGCAGTTAGAAGTACGCTGCGAGAGAGAGCGATGTGAGCGCTCTCCGCAGGATAACCGCCCTCCTTCCCTTGACGTTCCCCATGGAAGCTGCTAAACTCCCCGCCTGAGATCTTACGGCAGAGGGGGGGTCCTGAGAGTGAAGTGGAGGAGACGGAGCTGCGGGAGTTCTGGACGGTGAGACGGCTGGGAATCTCTCACCTCTGACTGCTGGGAGTGCGGGTGACGGGAGGTGGTCACGTGACCCGCCGAAGGGCAGTACTGGGAGACGGAGAAGCCGGCGGCTTCCTGAAGCAGAGGGAGACCCCGGCTTTCCGACCCAACAGAAGAGGAGGGAGAGAGAAACGGCTGGCTTCCTTTGAAACTGAAGCCGCTCGGGCAGAGAGATTTACATGACCGTCGGTACCCACGAGAGAAACGGAGAGAGAGAGAAGAAAAGAGCCTCGGAAAACCCCCCCTTCACCTCCCCCCCCCCTCCTCTTCTAACCCCTCTCCCCCCCCCCCCCCCTCCTGAGCTGAAGGGAAAAGGAGCAGAGCCACACCAGAATGCTGACAGCCTCACTGGAACGAAGCAGCGGGAAGGAGGGTGAGTGAGACTATCTGGATTATATATTAAATCTGTTTATGGATAGCTTCTTGGTGTGGCAGAAGAAATATATATAGAGAAAAAGGGGGAACCACCAAATAGCTTGAAGAAAGTAGAATTTACCTAAAGGACTTATTATCAGTATATATCTTAAAGTTTAAAAAGAGAACTCGGATACAGTTAAAAATATGAAGAGCAAAAATAGTAAAGGGAATGCCCCTAAACACGCCCAATCAGGAACAATTAGAAAATTTACATCTCAAGGTAATGTGACCCCAGAAAGAACTCAGGGGGCAGGTGAAAAAAGTATAATGGAGAACAGTATGGATAAAAGCGCCAGATCTCCAGTAGAAATGGATAATAATCAACAAATATCAGGAGAAATAGAGTCAAAGGAAAATGAAGGAGAACTACAAATCCCAAATAAAAAGGAAATGGCGGAAATGTTTAAAAATTTGGAAAAATCAATTAAACAGGAAATGGGAATTATTCGGAAAGATCTGGGACATCTCTTGACTAGAGTAGAAGATACAGAAGAAAAAATCAATAAACATGCTCAAACTCTTTCTGAACTGAATAATCAGATACTAGAGATTAGGCAAGAAAAAAAAAAAACTGGGATATAAACTGGAGATACAAGGTAACATACACAGGAAAAAAAATCTCAGGATAAAAGGAATTCCGGAGCTTATACAAGATAAAGAATTAAGAGAGACGATACAAAAAATCTTAAACTCCATTATGGGTAGACCTAGAACAGAGACATGCATATTGGACAATATATATAGATCAGGAAAGGCCCAACGAGATCGGGCGGAAGAGAGACCGAGAGATGTAGTGGTTCAATTTAATAAAATTGGAGAGAGAGAAGAAATATGGAAGAAGACAAAAGGAAGATATAATATTGAGTATGAAGGGAAAAATATACAAATCTTTGCAGACTTGACACCTGAGACATTATGGAGAAAGAGATCACTGAGACCCTTAATAGAACAGATGAAAAAAAACAAAACATACAGTATAGATGGAGCGGCTCAATGTGTCTAATCGGATGGAAGAATGGAGTTACTGCATACCTGAGATTTCCTGAGGATTTGAGAGACTTTTTTGACAAACTTAACATTCAAAAAGTAGAGGTTCCAGGTTGGGAGGTTGAGGGAGGGGAAAACGTCGAGGGAAAAGAGCAATGGCAGCAAATTAGAAGAAAGAATAAAGAAGGGATAGAAAGGGGAACATTGAGGGAAATGGAGGGACGGTGAACCGTACAAGGTTAGAGTTCAACCTCAGGGCCAAGATCCAAATGTGACAGTAAGCTCACAAAGGATTAGATGGTAAAAAATAGGCCTGATGGGAGG